ATATATATATATATATATATATATATATATATATATATATATATAGCTAACATCTAATACACCAGTTTGGGATTTATACACTGGAAAAACTGATATGTTAAATTTAACATTTCATGTATCCTAAATCATCCACTCTCATTTATATGTAAATTTAACACAAAACAAATGTGGTAAAAATATTTATTATCTAACACGCATAATATGTAAAAAATTAACACAAGAATTTAACACTTGAATACCGTCAGGAATCACAGTTTGTGTTAAATTGACATATGTATAATATTAAATTAACTAAAATAAAACGTTACTTTAACATTTGAGAGAAGTATTAATCTACGGTTTTGATGAAATGAAAATGTTAAATTGACATAATCAATGTCTAATTTTTTCCATATTATGCGTGTTACTTTTTAACACATTTGTTTTATATTAAATTTACACATAAATGAGAATGGATGATTTGGGACACATAAAATGTGTTAAATTTAACACATCAGTATTTACAGTGTACATTTTTCATATCTACCTGCAGCGAACAGTTCTTACCGGCCTTTTAATATTTTTGATTTTATAATCATAGGATTTTGTAATAATATATTTATTCTTCCATTTGAGGACTTGCTCAATAATTAAGATCCGATAACATCACGTTATACACAAATCAGATAACTGACTGACCAATCTAATCAGCACCATGGCGCAATCTTTTAGCCGCACTGTTCCCCTTTCATTAATACATCATGCTCCACTACGGGATCGGCTCGCATTTATTATTTACCACGGACTAAGGAATAGGGGGACGGAGTCTAAACGCTTACTTTGGGCGAGAGGGATATATACTCAGGCATGCGGGAGAAACTGCTCGTCGCCATATTGGTTTCTACCAACTCACACATAGACATATGTCAGTGATATTCCCACGTTCACTATATGAGTATCTCGAGCGTCTGATAGGTTACTGAAAAAAAGATTACGACGATTTGGTAATAATTACCCAACCTGTGTTATAGGTACTAAATTTTAGTATCACACAGGCTGGACAATTATTACCAAATCTAAGTCGTAATCTTTTTTTTCAGTGTAGCGAGTAAGATGTATGAAATAATGAGTAAGAACTTAGGGGTGTACATGTAAAACGATCCATATAGCAATTGAAAATGAACTTGAGACGATCATAAGTGAAAGATTCGACTGTAAATGTGTTAAACTCTTATTTTGAGATTGCGGTCTACTTGACGCTACAAATGCTTCGATGAGTCAAATGGACCGCAATCTTTCATTTCACATGTACGCTAGTATGCATTCTATGTGTGCGATAGGAGAAACCAATATGGCGCCCCCCCGCCGCCGCGGACGTGTTCCCCCGCTAGCCCTTGTCCCCCTATTCCTTAGTCCGTGTTATTTGCTTATTACTTATCCGACACGGATGCATTCATGGCGGGTGCGCGCGCGCGCGCGCGTGTGTGTGTGTGTTTGTGTGTGTGCCACGTTCGTGCGGAATGACGCGCGATTACGTCGAGTCAGGCTCAATGCGGCGAACGCGAAGATGAGGTGCCTCAGGGTGGAGGAGGTAGCGGGTAGAGGCAGAGGAGCGTGCGGGATGGAGCACAAGATCAAGACGAGAGGTAGAAACGGACGAGGTGCGGCCCCGTGAGCGTGCGACGCAGACAGAAAGAGAGAGTGACCGACGGGATCCCGATTCTAATATTGTCCTAGGCACCGCGGTAGCTCGCGGTCTCTCTCTGTTTCTCTCCTCTCTCTCTCTCTCTCTCTCTCCCCCAGTGAACCGTTCGGATTCGGCGTCGTCGGTCACGAAGTGCGCACTTGGTCGCGGATACTTTTCCCGGCGCTTTTCCTCCGCGGCGGAGCTTGGTCGCCGGTGCGATCGCGCGGGGTGTCGTTGCGGGAGATCTTCTCGGAGTAGATCCGCCGCGACGATCCGCGACGACGGACGGAGTGACGCCGGGAGAAGCGGGACACCGTGACGGACGGCTCGCGGGGAAAGCTCGACGGAAAATCGATAGATTAAAATACGTCGGGAGAAAATATACAACACGCGTGGTGAGTGATCGTGGCCTCGACGAGTGCGACCTGAGCAGCGCAGAGTCGAAGGCGTAATCCGCGATGGCCGTCGCGGAGATTGAATTCATCATCCCTGTTTTAGCGTGGTGAAAAAAGGCAAAAGAGACGCGAGGTCTGTATAAAATCGACGGCGCCCCGCGGCAAAGTGTGCGGAGCCTTGAGAGTGGTGTGCGTGTGCGTAGCCGCGTAGAGTGTGCCAGAAGCGGACTTAATTGTGACCGGATCGATTTGTTTAATTGAAACGTCGAGGTAACGAGACGGCCTTTTGGATTACAAGCGAACGTTGCGCGCGCGCGCGCGCGGGATTGCTGTAAATCCGGCCTGTCGATGATAATCTGCATCGTCGGGATATATCGAGCTGTGACATTTGCGCGCGCGTACACACACACAGCACACACACACACACATAGGCATCCTATGACATGCGACATCGATTTAATATTTATCGGTGAAGAACGAATTTCTGCCCGACGCCATTAGAAAACATTCCCGCGTCAATTTCGTTGTTATTAAGCGTGTGTATTTTTATGCTGCGATTCAGCCTCTTCGTCGACGACGTGCTCCACTTTCGAGCACGCGTCATCGGCAAATGAAGCGAACGAAAGCTTTTAAGCGCGCGAGCGAACGGCAGAAACTCTTCTTGCTCTTGCAGTTCCACCGATACCCGAGTTGCACTTTCCCGCGCTTCCCGTACTTAGGATGTAACAAGTAGGGACAGAAAGAGAGAGAGAGAGGGGAGGAAAAGGGCGGAAACGAGCGCGGAAAGTACAGTCCGAAAAGAGCAGATCCATATCTGGGCTTTCGCTTAATTAACGGGACACTCGGCCGGCGTTTTTCGCTCATGCATATACACGGGTGTAGTTTAAATTTTCATATCACTTTTGAATTTTCAAGCCTCCGATATACGAATCATATCATCATGGGCGCTCTTAATTTTTTTTTTAACGGGTTCTCGGGACATCGCATTTTTATCGGGCTAGGCGAGAGCGAATATCGATAACCTCGAAATAATATTGCATTTCTTGCTGTTTCATTTTGCTTCACGCCGAACAAAATTTTTTTAATATCGTGCTGCAGGAACGGCCAATTCTCGCTTCGTAGAACGCACTGAATTTACGTTCATTGGCAAAAAATGGTGGTGCAATCGACAGCGAACCGAGTGCGGATCACTATGTGGAGTTTTTATCGGCCGATTTGTAGGTGACATTTGTAAGTGACATCGATAGGACCCGGCTTGACCCAACACTGGGAACGACTAATTCTTCCTTTCTCAAATATATAAATTACCAAACGATGCTTTGTCAAACGGCGTAAGTGTGCGATTGAAAACCGGCGATTGCATCCCTCTAAAGTACAATCGGTATATTCTTCATTGAAATGTAATACTCATGAATGGTGCTTCAGTTACATATACAGTGTAACTGACAAGTAACATTACCCAAGTGCCACACGCCGATCTTCTTGAAACTTTGTACACATGTAGTACATCGAAAAAACATGTATTTTTTTATTTTGGCTAACAAGGCATTTTAAGGTTAGAAAACGCATTCGAAAATTTAACACTTTATAGCACAATGATAACTAACGCTACTCCTGAGTGTCATTCTTTTACAGCTTTTACGACATTACTCTATTATAATTTCATTGTCTGAATGTTTCTGAAGTCGCTAATTATGATTTCGACATTAGTTTGTAATCCTAATCATGGGTCTAAAAAACTCCCTCGAAACTGACTTTGAATAAAGTCTGTGAAATGTCTGCGATTTCGGTCCGCCATTTTGAATCTCGCAAAACTAATGTCAAAATCATCATTAGCGACTTCAGAAACATTCAGACAATGAAATTATAATAGAGTAATGTCGTAAAAGCTATACAAGAATGACGCTCAGGAGTAGCGTTAGTTATTAATTTTTAATTAATTATTAATTTATTATTTATTTTATTATTATTTATTATTATTTATTATTTATTATTATTTATTATTATTATTAATTTTTTAATTAATTATTAATTTTCGAATGCGTTTTCTAACCTTAAATGCCTTGTTAGCCAAAATAAAAAAATACATGTCTAATGTTTTTCGATGTACTGCAAAGTTTCAAGAAGATCAGCGTGTGGCACTTAGATAGTGTTATTTGTGAGTATAGCACTGCAATCAGTGAAATCGCTGAAAGAATCGACTGATAGCGGCGACTGTTCCCATCATTGATGCAATTTGCAAACAGGCAGTACACGCAAATCACATTGAAGTTGTTGAGGTAAAAGCGCCAATGCCAGGACGCTAACACCATTGGTGCCTGACTCTGGACATTTTTATTATTTTAGTCTTTAAACATAAATATTTTAACTTTCAATAGAATATATATATTCTACGCAAAAAGTTTACATATTCGTATTTAAGAATCAAAATAACAAGAATATACAGAGTTTTACTTTTACCTTAATTTTTCACTACCACAAACGCAAAAAGTTGGATTTAAAGTTATTATCGTTAACATTATAATAGGATTGAATAAAGAATAGTTTCCTCGACCGCAATAATTTACAGCGATTATTTCTCTATACGACTATAGTTGAAAATATACGAACAACTTTTTTTCTCAATGTGTAATTTAATCAGAAACATTTTTACCGATGCACTTTGAGAGAGGGAGAAAGAAATTTCTCGCGTTGTTTTGCACATATATACACACACACACACACACACACACACACTTGATTCGCGAAATCGTGAGCGCGAACGCTTTGGGAAACTTGATACGGCCAGGAGCGGCTATTTTGAATTCGGCATGCTTCGTGCAAGCTCATCGATCGAAGGCCACCTGGGCGGTATCAGGAAAAGCGAACGTCAAAAGAATTCGGTGACATCGGCCGCGAAGCGACATGCTTTTCTGCGGGATGATGTACGCGGACGAAAGCGGTCAGCCTGCTACAGCTCGAGCACGCTCGTATTTTTAAACGAATTACCTCACCGACGCATTTTCGTTTTCGCGCTAACAAACACTGACACGTGGACGGTGCGCGTCTTGTTCTCGAGATTCGTCGGTTCGAGCTTCTCGGCACACAACGTGCCTCGTCTTGCATTCTCCGAGCGGTCGAAAAAGCGATCGACGGCATGCACCGCGGTTCTACCGCCGTTTGGAGAAACGACGGCGACTTGGCGTGACGTAAATCCGTAAGGCGTGATGCAAATCAATCCTCAATCGGCGGCGGGATGGAAAATCGGCCGTGGAAATTATTTAATTGGAGGCTTAACCCGGTCTACGACATAATCCGCGGCTATTAGTGGCATCTGAGTGCGTGGATTATCAATATGTACGCAAATACAATTTCATCGAAACTAATCCGCCGTTAATACGGCCCCCGTGCGGAGGAACCGCTGGTGCATTTTAATTCATTAATGCGTGTAGTCTCGCGCACAGGGAGAATAGAGTGAAGGATGGCTTCTCGTGCGCCATTCACGGACAATTAAGTGCTCGCGGTTGTGTGATAAATCGCCGCCAAAGGCCGTGCTTGCTCTTACGACGCGAAATGCAAGCGCGATGCATCGCGTCTGGTGCTTCTTCATTTTTCGTCGCGCGAAACGAGCGGGACTGTAGAGCACCTATTAAAATGCAAAGCCCGGAAAATTCTCTCGTAAAATTTTACCTTCACGTTACGCTCATTGAGAAGAAACTTACCGAAAGCATCGAGTTCTCTCATTCCCCTCTCTCTCTCTCTCTCTTTCTCTCTCACACTTACTCTCTCTTGTCCTTCGTCTATCTCTTCTTTTCCTCTCTTCTAAACGATATAAATAATTGAGGGTCGTACGGTACCAGTCACATGGCGTTGATTTCTTGAATACGCGCCAGGCACTCGACGTGGATTTGAACAGATTCGATTGAAGGGCTCGGAGCAGACGCAGAGAGACAGAGAGAGAGAGAGAGAGAGAGAGAGAGAGAGAGAGAGAGAGAGAGGAGGGCCAATATACATTCCTTCCATGCGCCGAGAGCTCCGGAACTCGCAGAATTCCTAAGCGTTCCGCAATCCGAAAATTCCCCGAGCTCAATCGTGTATCTCCGTCCTTCGGAGTCGCTGGAATATCGGCGAATCGGCGGGCCAAGTCGAAGACTGAAGAAACGAGCGTCGCGCGGCAATCCTCCCCCGCCGATATGTTTCAACGAAACGCGGGATATCAATCGCCGGTCCGGCGAAAAATGAACAGCCCCGCGTTGACCCCGCAAGAATTCGCCGCGCGCTCGAGCTCATCAAATGGCAGTACATCATCCTCATTCCCGCGCTTTCCCCCCGGCCCCTCTCCCTCGTCAATTACGGAACAGCTCGATCTCGAGACGACGAGATCGACGGCGGAATGTGCGGCGGGTTAATATCCGTTGTCGGGCTGGGCGAGAACACGGCGTCTGGTTTGTGTGATGCCGATAATTTAGGGGGCGTCGACGGGGTTCTCTCGCGCCTCTTCCGTCACCTCGTGAACGCCCGACAGCTAGTCGACTTTCGTAGCGCGAGCTTGGCGAATCGAATTGAATCGTTGCCGTTCGTAAGATCGTTTATTGCCCGCGATCGCGACGAGTTAAGAATCGATCTAGACACTCGGGCGCGCTGTGGACGACGATATTTTCGCAACGCGGCCTGAGAGGGAGGGAGAGAGAGAGAGAGAGAGAGAGAGAGAAAAAAGAAAGAGAGATAGATGGACGGTGCGTGTGTGGTTGGTGAACTGCCAGTCACTCTTGCTTCTCGTGCGTGTTCTCCCGTGAATTGGGTGGATTTTCCGATCAATCCGAGCGATCGCGATGTAATCAGAGTAACAGAGAGGATAGTTGGGCGAGATTGCATCACTTTGCTTAATTACAATGGCGCCAATTGAGGAGGAGAGCAGGCGCGGCCGTGCAACGAGTTGCCTGACCTTTCCATTACGTTCCCCGGGAAAAGATAAGCTACCTCCCTCCCTTTGGTCATTTTGCGCATTCGGTATTATCGTTCCATCATTATTCTGTTAACTGCACGCTCTCGCGTGTTTCTTTGAAAAAAAAAATATTTCAGCCCCGATATAAAGCGCCACCTGACACGGGGGATTTTTTTTTAAATTATTTTTATAAGACTCCTCCTATTGAGCGCTTTAAGCGAGGCCGAATATTCATGCGATATCGACGCTGGGCGTCGAATGGACTTCGTGGCTGGGATATCGGATATTGCATAAATATCCGCGGAACGTGACTATTCAAACTAGATTTATATGGATATTTGTACGGGGCGTCGATGTTACTGTAATGGATCGTGCATGGCGATCGACTCCGGCTTGAAAAATACACACACCGGTGCGACAAACGAGCTTTGCGCGCAGCAAGCTTTATCGACTACTTTGCGGAGGAAGGAAGGGAATCGCGCGAATCGCTCTCGAAATATCGTATTGTTCAATTAGGAGACTGTCAATTTCTCGACACCGGATATTAACTCTGACGGTCGTTTATTTTGTGCATTGCACGTGAGATAGAAATGGGAAAGCCCCCACACTGAGAAGAATAATTGAAATAATTGAATTAATGAGACTTTTCGCTTGAACCAACAAAATTCATTCCAACAGACGTTTGGTTGACTAAACGAATCATAGGGTTGCTAGGAGACGAGTTATGTCAATTGATTCAATGATCGCGGTTTGGTTAATAAACATATCAATACAACTTATCGTTGTACTAATTCGTTAAATAATTCGTTCAATAGATACAATATTTCTCATAAAGAGCCGGGTAACCGCCGATTTCACCGATGTAACTGCATTTTTTCTCAGTGCGGACATGCGCTTAATGTGAGACGTTGTTTGGTCCTTAAATACAGATATTGAAACTTTTAACTTGTAAATCCTCTTTTCTCGAAAGGTAGCTTACTCGTACAATAGAGAGAGCGTTGAAAGTGAGTCGAATTTTGCACCAATACGCCTGGAAGGCGCTCGGTGTTACTCTCAGAAAGTATCGATTTAATCCGAGTATAAGCGAGCCACACGAATAACTGAAGAAAATCCGAGTAAGAACCTACCGAATATTCGCGGCCAGACATGACAAAATGCGACGAGTAGACGATGTCGCGCGTAATTGCCGCTTTAAAGGGAGGAAATCACGGACGGACAAGGGGACGCTAGTCAACAAGGAGGACGCTGACGTTTATATCGGGATCTATTTTTCCTGCCCCGGGGCAGTGAGCTTAATTGCTTTTCTCCCGTGCGCCTTCTAATTAAGTCTTCAATGTCCCGCGAGGCGAAGAACTGGTCGAATGCATAATGCATTTCAGGGGGACCGACGTCCTTTCTTGCTGTCTCCTTTGAATCCCTCATCGCGACTTTCCTTCATCCTCGCTGTTCTCGCGAGTCCGCGGCTAATGGCCGAAGTTCGCCGTCGTCGTTTCGACGATGCCGGTGCATTCTCGATTGAATTATAATTAATGCCATGCGCCATGCGCGCCTCGGCGCCGTGAACTAACAACAGCCGGAGAAACTTGCGAGGCGCTCCCGGAGACGCGGGAATGATCGATCGCGAATAATCACTGTGCGTCTTCGCTCTGTCTGTCGCGCCTCGCACGACTGTTTTTCCGTGACATCCGGACAATCCCCGATATTAGACGCGCGTCTCTCCACAATCGCGTCGATTTACGCGAGGGACTTTCCCCTCGTGAAAAAAAATTTGCCTCGGCGCAATTAATACGACTTTAACAAATGGTCCGGTGAAAAGAGGAGAAATTTCCGCTAGCTAGCTGGCTAACTATACATTCGTGAAAGCGCGAAGACTCGATTACGAGGGAAACACAAAAAAGTTGGACGCACGATATTTTTGTTTAATTTGTGGAATTACTCCAATTATCCTGCTCCCATTTTCCCTTCCTCCGCCCTCTCTCTTTCTCTCTCTGTCTCTCTTTCTCTCTCTTCGCTGTGAACTTATTTATTATTACTTAGAAGAAAGAATAGAGATTAATGGCTCGCAGTCACGGTGTGACTGAAATCGGACCGTTCAGGCGAATTTATATAACGATTCGCTAATATATCTATGTCTCAGTGAAATGTATTTATATATTGCCGTTATCTTTGCTACACGACTGGCGATATCGAGGTGGGTGTCGGATTTATCGCCGGGGCGGTGTGTGATTACGAACATCCAGCTAAATCACAATCACACGCTGCCTCGAGCGACCACTACGGTGCAATTCACTTCGCGATTTTATATATATATATATACACACATATATGCGCGCGCGTGTGTGAGCGTGTACGAATGTAGCGCTCGCGGAAATAGATTCCGAAACGAAAACTAAAAGATCCTCTCGAAGCGGGACCGTCGTGGAGCGCGTACGTCGAGCCGCATGCCGCTCACGTACGCTGAAAGTGTTGACTACCTGGAAATCCCTTCGACGAGGCCGTTACATCTCTTATGCATACGCAATTCTCGCGGGCGGAATCTACCTCCTCTTCCTCGCATAAATACCACTGACGTGTGGTCTACGCGCCGTCAAAGAGGTCACGACGGTTCCGCGTTTTGAACGACGCGCGATACCCGATCGAGGGAACACGCGGCCTCGAAAAAAATACGCGCGGGGTTTACTCGATAAATATCGAATGCGAGAGATACGCGCAGACCGACGCGATGGTTGCAGCACTTTTTAGGTCGAGTCAGCTCGGATTTCCGATCGCACACTGACCGACATATTCGCGCATCGCGACTGTCGACTAACTGTCGAGGGAAACGTCAACGATACCCGCCGTATTATTCGCGGTAGCGTTTCTCCATTCTTTCTTCTCTTCTCCCCCTTTAGAAAATAGCGCCGCGGCGCTTGAGAAATTTCGCGTCGCGATATGTAAATGCATAACCAGCTTCGCGCGGGACGTCTCCCATTTCCATTCGGATCCCGTCGGGGGTTGATAGGGCCGTAACTTATTTCTGGCAAGTACTTTTTTGCGAAAGTTCGCGCGCTCGTCGCCGAGTGCATTATGCATGCTCGGACTTTGTTACGCTCCTCGCTCTTTGTAACCGATTGTTGCACGTGCGCGACGGGAGTTCCGGCGCGCAAAATTTCGCGTCTTATTCGGATGATTCCGCGTCGCGGAACGGAGAAAGACCGATTCGCAGCGAACGGCTGTCCGTCCGAGGGCGACGTCTTTGTGCGTAACGGTACGCTTTATTGCGTGATAATCACATAATGGCACGAATTGGCCGCGTCAATTAAAGCTGGCACGAAGCCGTCGTGCTGAATTCTTTGTCCGCTCGGCAGTCAGTCACGAGGCGAGGCCGAGGGAATTATTTATCCACTGCAATAGCCTCTCCTCGAAGCGAACAACTCCGCAACGTCGACATGGAATTCGGTTAACCGCGAATCCACAAGGTAAACGTGCCAATGCCTGAACGCTAATAACACTGGTACCTATCTCTGGACGTTTTCATTGTTTTGATCCTTAAATACGAATATTTTACCGTAATTCTACAAGAATCATTCAATCCACATGAAGTTTCGAGAAAAATGAAGATGAAAATTTCGTGAGTGATTTACGAAATATAGATAGCGTTGAGGTCCTTCGCAATTGTTCAAGAAACCAAGTATGATAAATTTTCTTCTCTTTAAGGGTATTTATTGATAAGCATAACATTTAAAAACTGAGTAAAAAGACGCAACTGATAATTTAGAGATTCAAGTAAATATGTAAATATTAGTACCCACCAAGTAAAAATTTACTGTTCCTTAGATATTTTTCTCTCAGTGTATTTTACGTTGTGTAAAAGTTTAAATACACGTATTTAGGAACCAAAACAGCGTTTGTGATGCCAATGTTATTAGTGTCCAGCTATCGGTACTCTTATATGTTACCGAGGAAGTGCTCGGAGAAAAAAGAAGCGCGCTTCAAAGCGCGGTGTATTGCGTCGACGGTCGCGGGGGATAGACGGAAGTCTCGGCGGTTTCCGGCACCGTTAGATCGATTTGTTCTCACAGTTATGCAAAGGCGGCGTAACGGTTGGGAAATGCGCGGAAAAAAATGGCATCGATTTCATCGTTGAAGCAGCGGCTCGATCGGACGCACTCGGGAGTATTCAATTTTTCGGTCTGTCGCGCCGCGTGATTGCCGTGCTTCTCCTCCGAGAAGTATAAAATCGATTCGGAAACGCCGATGCAACCTTGTATAATCGGTTACGAGGGTACTTCCGCACACGCGCGCATCAAGCTTTCCCCGAATTCGACGAGAGTTACGCAAGCGCGATGACGAGAATCATCTTTGCGACGAAATAGACTCGTCAGAGGCACAGACTTCTATATAATATCTAGACTGCTAAATAGGTATAGTTTAGTTAAGGATTATTTGGTCGGAAAAATATCGCCCGCCATCCTTGAAAGGACCTCACATACCTGAGTGGCAATGTATGAGTGGGAGGAAGCAATATGCTATAGTGCGTATCATTACTACTCCCATATGATACGGTTCTTTTAAAGATGGCCGCTCGATATTTTTCCAACCACTCGCTAAATACGGCTATTAGCAAGTTTATTACGGCTATTAGCTAGTTTATATATAGAAGTTTGTGGTCAGAGGACGCTGCACTGAGAGAAAAATATAGTTGTCTCTTTGGCGTCAGCTATACTCTTTTGTGATTTTAACCACAAAAATAGTTAGAAAAACCATCATTTTAGTAAGTGTCATTAGAAAAATGGTTCTTCTAATTATTTTTTTGGTTAAAATCACAAAAAAGTATAGTTGACGTCAAAGACACCTATATTTTTCTCTCAGTGTGGTCGCGCTCTCTTAAAGACGATCATTCGCACATATTTTTCTCGATATTTTCGCCGAGTCGCATGAAAATTCGAATGGCGAGAATTAACTTATCGGATTAACAAACACTCGATCTCGCCAAATTCCGCTGATCCGCCGAATTCTTCTCGATTATCCCGGCTGATCCTGAAATGTCGCGTTCAGGACGATCGTGGTGCGTATTATGCGCGCATTTTTCGCGGAGAGTGCGCGAATGGCCGCGGGTGGCTCTGCCAGTCGCTGTTCTCGCGATCGCTTATTACCCTCTCCTGTGCCGCGCACAGAGTCGGTCACGATGATCTTCAACCGGTCGCCTCGACCGCCCTTCTCCCCGCATCATCTCGTCGGATTTTTCCTCGCTTTTCTTGCCGTGTTCTCTCATCTCTGTACGCTATTATTCCGCGTTTCTCGAGAGCAATTCCCTCCATAGCTTCCTTCGTTTCGCGTCGGTTTTTTTAGTTTGTCGTATGGCGAAACTTAGAAAGACTCGACAAGATCGAAAGAAATCGCGACGTGACGTCCCTCAGCGTCACTACAACATCCCGAGAACTGCGTCGGCGAGATGTAAAATCCTATATAAAAAATATAATCTCATTCTTGACGGAATCCTCTTATATATATGTTACGTTACGGTTATGTTGCACTAGCTTAAACTGGCGTTGTTCGAGATTCTTACATCTAGAACAAATCTAAATTAATTAAAATGTCTAAATTAAATTATCACATAGTCAAGGGGACGAAATCAGGTGATGGTGGTGAGATGTGCAGGTAAACTATATTTTTCTAGATAATAACACAATGTAAAATATGATAAAAAAGGGATATTCTACTAAAACCAAAAGGAAAATATCCCAGTACTTCACAAAAAAGAACTCTGGTCGCAAGTTGTTATTTCTAACTTTTTTTAGAATTTAATATTTGCTTTAATATAAGTTGAGTTTTTTGTGAGGTTATTTTTCTGTTTGTATAAAAAACTGGAGATAATAATAAATAATTTTCTATATTCACGCGAAGAGAGAGGTAAGTTTGTTTGTTCTGACATGAAATTCGCGCTTGTTACAAACGAGTCAACGCGTATTGGTTGAAGGAAACGGAATTTTTTATTCTCAGAATCAAACTTGGGTCATAAGAAATCTTGTGTCTTTCGAGCAAAACGCGTTGGTTTGTTTATCAAACTTCATGTCAATGCAATCAAAGTTTCCCTGCGGAAACTGTTACCGGAGGAGTATATTTCCCTTTTAATGTTATGCCTGGAATATCTTTTCCCTAGTTTTAGAATAATTCTCTTGAGGTCAAGAGGATTCCGTTCACGGATGCGATTGTATTATTTTGGCTGCGAGAGAGATACATTGACGACGACTAAATTGATATTCCTCAATGTGATCACTTCGTCCGCGAGCGAACGACAATTTCGTCGACGTTCTGTTTATTCGCGTACACAGGACGATCTATTAATAAAGAGTTCGGTACAAGTTGCCGCGAAATACCTCGGAAAGTTCCTCTCAGACGTGGCTAGTGACTCGCGTCGGCTGGTAATGAAGCGAAGCGCCCTAAGTTTTGTCGCGACGTAGGTAGTTGGGAGAAGTCGTGTCTCGCATAGTTAAAAGTTTCAAAGACGCTTACGTACAGCGTGGAATTCCGTTTGATAGTCGGGTCCTACCACCTCGAGCGTTTCGCGCGGTTGCTCGCTCGCTCGCTCGTTCACTCGTCTGTCGGTAACTTGGCTTTCTGCCTCTCACAGTGACAGGCTTCGCTTTGCCGTCGGTACGATAGCGGATACTTGACTCGTCATAGCGCCCGAGGGGCAGTGTGATTATAGTCTAATGACAACAAGATCGGAGGACGAAGGTACGCCGAGTCAAATGCTTTCTCTGTCACGCGAGGTACTCCAGGAGGGCGACGTATACTGAAAGAAAAATTATATTAAAGTCAACAAATATTTCCTTGATGAGTACCATTAACATACTTAAATCTACATTCTCTTTATTTAAACCTAATATTGTTTATTTAAATCAGGTAAACGATATTTGGCAATTATGTAGAATAAGGACTTTTCCGAATTTTGATATTTTTTGCTGCAATCTTGATAAATATCTTTGTTGTTATTCCAACAGTGATAATCAAATGGGGGAGCCTAAAAAATATGTAAACTATCTATTTTTAACTATTTTTTCTAACATATGCTTGTAGAATATCATATCCCTTAAGGTTTAAGACTGAAATTGCAACAAAGTACTGAAAAGATTAGAACATTTATTTATTAGTGACAAACACTACTTTATTGGTAATATAAAAAAATAATTTTTACAAAAATAAATATTGAATTTTTGTTTAAATTGGAGACCGGGTCTTCAAATTGTACATTGGGTTTTTAAATCGTATTTTAAAGATATGCAGTCATAAACAATAAAAAAGTATTAATTAATTATTAATTAACGCCATATTACAGTAATATAACAATAAAACAAAACAAAAATAAAAGTACGTAAGTAATACAACTAGTATCATCCATTTTACTATATAACACAAATATTGCTTGAAACAACATGTTTCAACAACATTTTTAACCGATTTGGCTAATTCTTTTATTATGAATCATGCCTGTTTCATTTGTCACCGCGGTTTTCTTCGTCATCGCGGTTTAATTCATTATCGAGCGCAATGATTTAAAAAATCTGAAGGTTTTAGCCGTCGCTCATTGTTTGTTAAAAAATTATTAACAAAGAAAGTATGAATGTAACGCAATTTTTCAAGACAGTCCTATAAAATACACACTTTTCCTTTCACTTTTGTGAAAAATTCTCACTCTTTAGCTTAAGTACAACAGACTTGGCTCCCTCCCGACCGCGGTACGGGGGTCTGGGGGGCGTAGCCCCCCAGTTACACGGCTAATGACAGGCTTCTTCATGCATCTTTTTTATTAATATCTCGGAAACTGTAAGCGACCGCCATATAGCTATGTTTATATTATTGAAATATGATAAAAAATAAAAAAGGTGCCTGTCTCTAGCCGTGTAACTGGGGGACTACGCCCTTCAGACTCCCCGTATCGCGGGGGAGGGGGGGGGGCGCAAATCTGTTGTATTTTAGCTAAAGTTACTTAACTTAAAGTTACTTAACTTAAAGTTTAACAATCGCAAATTAAAATGGAGATGCCACAAACCTCGAAAAGCTACGTAGAGAGAAATAATTAAAAACATTGAAAGGTTACGTACTTTTCGGCTCCCCCATTTGATTATCAATGTTGGAATAACAACAAAGATATTTATCAAGATTGCAGCAAAAAAATATCAAAATTCGGAAAAATCCTTATTCTACATAATTACCCCATATATTTGATTTAAATAAAAGATAATGCAGATTTAAGTAAATATGTTAATGGCATCCATCAAGGAAATATTTGTTGATTTTAATGTAATTTTTCTCTCAGTGTAGGAGAAACAAAAAAAGATAGAGAAAGAAAGTGAAAGAAAGATAGAGGATGCTTTGATTACACACGATCGATTCTCCTTCATAATTTTTTTTCTACCAAGTGGACAATTATCCAAGAAAAGCATCTGACTCTCTACTATCCTCCTTTACTAATCCTGACTTCATCCCTCTTGCAGCAATGGTCAGTCTATTTCGTACGGCTTGAGCGGGATGAGAAAGCGCGAAGAAAGGGTGTAAGAGACATTTATTGCGAATAAAACGGTTGAGTGATTTACTTTTAGATACTTTTGGTACTTCTGATACATCGATCATAAATAATTTCTACTGAACGGTCGTGTTCACCGAATGTAGTCATTTTTCAATCGAGCAACCGCGATAGGACGTTGCGTCTTGTTGTGGCCGCGTGCCAGTTCGCGCGGTGTAAACAGAATGGAGTCGTTTGCGGGCGGTGGGAAATCGGGTCGCCGTCCATCTCAGCGCGCACCACCCTCCGTTCGCCCCCGATCGCGAAATCCAAACAGCGTCGCGGGGAAGGTCAGCCGGGAAAGCTCCCTTGTTGTTCTGCTGCAGACGAAAAGTCTGGCGCCGATGTGACGGCGATGCGACGACAACTACGCGGATGCATCCCGTCCAGGGATGCTAGCTAGCCTCAGTGCTCGTTCTCCTCTTACGCGCTGTGCACCGTCTCTTCTCCATCTGGCTCTCCTCCTCAAGTCTCAGCGTCCTCGAGTCTCAGCCCGCGTCTCTGCGAACAGTTCTCATTTCGCGAAATCCAACGCACCGGATCTTGTTATCCCGCGGACGGCTCGCTCACGTAATCTGCATTTTTATTCGATTCGCTTGCGCGAGGAACGAATCGGATCGATTTTTCAGCCGTCGCTCCGCGATACATGGGTCAATCGAATAAGTTCAATAGGAGAGGATCCCGCGTGAGATAAAAGCACTCAATGCCTGGACAATATTAGTAACACTAATGCCTGACTCATTCTTAATGTTTTGTTTTTAAATACGAATATGGGATTTAAACTTTTTGCATAGAATATCTGTACATGTATTCTCTCAATATTAGAAGTTTACATGTTTGTTTTTAAAGACTAAAATAAGAAGAGTGTCCAGAATTAGAGGTATCAGTGTGGTGTTATTAGTGTGGCATTGGTACCTTTACCTTACAGCTTGCGAGACTCTTCGGCGAATAGAAGGAACGAAATATCATACGAACGGTGACTTGTTTGAGGCGAGCATTCCTGCGAAAAGCACGAGCGACATCACATACACGTCGTTTAGTTTTAGCGGACTAGAGGAATCGAAAGAGACTCTGAATGTAACATAAAGGGATGCGGTAGTTTTCCGCCTTATATATCGTTCCGGGCGACACGCCAGGAAGACGTACAACGTTCGACGGTCGCTGCGACGATAAAAGTTCTTTCGGCCGACAAAGGGCTGAAACAGACCTTTTTCACCGGTGCTTTCACGTTCCGCGGTAGCGTTCTGTCAACTGCGGCGGTACCGAGCGAGAAAGTCTCCTCGAGATGTTGAAGTTTCGAGCATCCGGCCAACGGAAGTGCGGCGGCACGGTGAGAATCTTAAGCGTCTGTGACTGAAATCTCAGCGAGGAGATGTCGAAGAAAAGTTAATTCTTCACCGCGGAAAAAAATTTGGGAGATCGCGGTGACGTTCGTCACGTTCTCTTATTAAAGTATATACGGGGAGATTTTGCGTGGGCTCTTCAACTATGTGCTAACTCTTCTTTTAGGAATTTTTGCATGCAAAGCCAAAGTTTGGAATATTCACTTTCGGAATAGTTTGAGAGTGTTTTCTGAGTTTAAAGCTATCTGAATATCTTGTCCCAGATATTTCATGGCGCTACACAAAGTCTCGCGGCACTATGCGTTGACCATGTATTTCATCGCGTCCGAGTTCGCGGTAATTTGCCGTCATAACTTCGCCTGTGCAGTCGCTTTCGGACAGCGTCGCGCGTCGACGTCTGGGAAGTTGCCTGCCTCCAGGTGCATCGAGAGACCACAGCGGTTCTCAGCCGTTTTTTCGTGCACGAAACTCGCTCGTCATCGGCTATATCACATCGTATCGATTTGAAACGTCAAAGCGATCACAGACTACAACTTTTAGACGCAAAAGCTCTAAATTTCTTGTTGGAATTTCACGAAAAACTTATTGTTATTATTTTATTGTAAAGTCTCAATAATTGACTAATTATTTTTTTAGGACACAAACTAGCAACAATATTCGGAAATTTATATAAAGAAGACTATTATATAATATATTATAAAATATGTTTGAATTTTATATGTGATTAAGTGATATATAATTATATTAGAAAAAAATTCATAATTTAAGAAAAAATAAAAGTTTTTTATAAAATAGTATTGTCGTTATAGTTTTTCGAGTCATTTGGTATATATATATTTTTTTAAGAAGATAAAACAGAAAGGAAATTTAACGAAGAAATTTAATTTCTTCTTTAAAATGAACTAAAATATTTAATTATATAAACGTAAAATAATAATT